AACGTGGGGCGCATAGATGGACGACGACGACGTGCGGAGGTCGTGCGCCAGCTGCTCTGCTACCGTCTTGACTGCGCTCTTGGAGGCGTTGTACGCTGGGTTGCCCGGCGGGTTGGTGATGCCCTGCTTGGAGCCCGTCAGGACGACGGCGCTAGGGCCCGCAGTTGCGAGCACCATGGGCAGGAACGTCGTGAGACCATGCACTATGCCGAAGAAGTTCACGCCCAGAGTCTTGTGGAAGTAGTCGGCATCTCCCCACGGCTTGGTCGTTCGGATCGCCATGCCCGCATTCAGCATCAGGAGGTCGATGGTCTGGAATTTGCCCACCAGGTCTGCCCGCACCGCGTCCCAGGAGGAGAGGTCCGAGACGTCGATCTCATATGTGAGCGTCAGGACCTTGTTGTCGATGGATTTCAGGGCCGAGGAGGCGGCGTCGAGCGAGGAGCGGTTGATGTCCAGTAAAGCTACGTGCATGCCGCTGCGCCGGCAGTGCTGCGCAAAAGCGAATCCCACGCCAGATGCGCCACCGCTGATCAAGGCGAGAGCGCCCGAGCGGAAGATGGACGCCATTTGGTTTGTCCTTTTTCTCTTTCTTCCTTTCCTGGTCGGGGACTTACTGGGGCTGACTTTTGATGGAGAGTTGGGAGGGAGGGACAGTGAGAGTCGGCGAAAGAGGGGAGACCAAGGAGAAGAAGACGGAGATGCTCCGGTCTGAGAAGGCCATGTCCAATGACGTCGAAGCTACGGAGTTCAACGAGGCGGGATGATGAGGACGATGATAACGAGTCGCAGCAGCATACGTGAGTACGTGACTCTGGTGAGTTGGAATGTTCAATTCTTGGTATTCGTATACAGATCATGCGTGGTCTGGATCTCCGTAAAGGCTCTTTTTGCTGCGTCTTGCACCTGTGGCACATCTTGCACCCTTCCAAATCCTGCAACGCTAATTCAATTTTTGAAGGGTCGTGGGAATCCTTTCTTTCCTTTCCCCCTCTGAACCTTTTGCTGTTCTTTTTCTGGATTCACAACGGCCCGCCTGCCAATGCATTATTTGAGAAATGGCAAAACCAGAGACAAGCGATAACGGGACGGTAGTTGGTTGAATACCCGTCCTCACATTGGGATCAATCACAGCGATGCTTCGACTGCCTCATTCACCTTATCCTCGATCTGGGCTTCCTGGAGCTCCTTGCTGACGTCGGCAACGGCATCCTTTTCTTGAGCAAGCTCGCCATCCGCCGAGACAGATCCGTTAACGCCTGCATCCTTGGCTGCCACTTTCTTCGCATGGTTGTGACGACCGCTTCGGGCACCTGTTGAGGAAGTTGCATTCGACGAGTCGAGAGCTTCTTGTTCGAGCTTCTCAATCTCCTTCTTGGCCTTTTCAATGTTCTTGGCGCAAAAAGTCAGCATCGTTGTCATACAGTCTAGCCATTACGACTCTCACCTTTTGGGTTTGCGTGTCCTGATCCTTCTTCCAGGCGGCCAGTTTCTGCTTCAGCCTCTCAACCACGCCTGGGACATCCGCTTGGGCACTTGGTGGGTCGACTCCAACTTTGGCCAGCTCCTCAATAATACCAATGTTCATGTTGAGTTTGCCGGAATCTGCGGGGCCAGCGGCACCTTTCTTGCCCTTGCCTTTTTTCTTGCCACCACCGCCTACGAAGAAGTCTTCGTCTTCCTTCTTGATCACTTTCATGCCCTTGAAGCCGGACTCGTCTACGGTTCGTTGGGCGGTTGCAGCAAATTGGCCATGACCTTTGTCTCCTTCATCCGTGTGGTAGGTTGGGTCAAAGTGGCGGATCAGCCCTTCAGCGGTGCGGATTTGATCCAGAAAAGCGGGCTCCGATGCTTCCTCGAGCTTCTGCTCAGCAATGCGGCGGCGCTTTTCTTTCTCGTACGCCTCGCGTTCGGCCTTTTGTCGTTCTCGCCGTTGCTGGTAGACCATGTCTTCATACTCCTTGTAAGCCTTTCTCTGGGTATAGTAGTCGTCCTTGACCTTCCTGATGGCTGTATATGTCGCCTGCTGCTCTTCGTAGAGGCGATCGCGCTCGGCCTTCAAGGCGTCGTAGTTTTTGTTGGTGTCTTCTCGCGCGGCCTTGATTTCGTCGAGCTCTTTCTGGTTGTCTTCGAACTTCTGGGATAGTGCACGGGACTCGGGATTGTCAAAGGATTTCTTGAGTTCGGCATTTTCTGCTTTTTTCTCGTCAATCTTTTTTTGCAAGTCGTCTAGGCCGACAAAGCCCTTCTTTTGGCGACGCAGGGCCGAAATCTCAGCAAGCGCCTTCTTCTCGTCAACCAATTTCATGTTGCCCGAATCAACTTGTTTGGTGATGCTGTCGATCTTGGCATCAATTTCCTCGGGACTCTTGAAACCGGCGCGGGTGCGAGCTTCCTTTTGCTCCGCGAACAACTTCTTGATCAAGGCATCGTTCTGGCCGTACTTTTCCTGTTGCCCCGCTTTGGCCAGCTTGTGTTCCTGCTGCTTCTGGCGGATGGTTTTCTGCTCTTCAACGAGTTCCTTGAAGCGGTCGTTGGCGGGGGTGGATTTTCCGGGGCGGGCGTTGTCGAGCTTGGCTCGGATGGCATTCTGTCAATGATCAGCTAAGGAGTCCCCATGTATAGTATTTAACCGAGGGGAGAGACCTACGAAGCGGGCTTGGGCAGCCTCATGAGCTTTCTCGGCCTTTGCAAGGTCGTCCTTAAACTTGGCTTCGTCGGGCTTCTCTGGTCGCTTGTGGGCGCCATCGGCAGCAGGAGCAGTCTCAACATCGGCCATGTTTGATGGTAGTGGTCGCAGATACCAAAAGATGAGTTACCAGAGGTCAGGTCGTGGTAGGAATAGAAAGGGTGTAATATATATTCATCTAATCCATACTAGGAGATGTGAGGTGAAGGAACTCAGTGAGAAACAAGTGGGTCCCAGAGTCTTTATAAGTGATGAAAAGATGATAAACAACGGGTAGAAGCAGGTGACAAGGCAGTGAAGACGAGGATGAGGTTGAAGATGAAGATGAGGGATCGCTTCGAGTCGCAGTTGTGGTTTGTTTCGACTCGAGTCGAGTCGGTGTGGAGTAAAATTATTTTGGGAATTTCGCCTGACATCCTCTTGATCCACGCAATCTTGTGGATGGCGTTCCGCGGTCTGTGGTCGGCCGGAGAGAATACGGAGTACTACTTGGGAACTTGGTACTCCGTACCTCGTATTGCTCGTACCTTGCTCGTACGCTCTCGCCACCTCGCCAACTCATCTAATTCATTTTGTGGGATGTACGAGGTAGTTGTAGTCAACCTGACACCTCCAGTGCATCATCCATGTAGGTAGCGAACAAAAATATTATCATTCGCCGAACTCCTGTCACCTCGTGGACACCTCATAGATGACAGTCCTGGATCAACCACGCTTCAGCTGAGACCTCGTCGCCGAGGGACCAACCTCCCACCAGACACTGAGCTAGGTGGCAAGCGTCTTCATCTCATTGTGACAACAGGAACAGAGAGATACCGTCGTGGCCTCACCTAGACAATCATCACCATTGGACACCAGACAAGATTATGCACAACCTGTGCAATGACTGCTTTACCGATAACGATAATAGATGAAAACAAGTATAAAGAACTCCTTAGCTTAAATGGTAGGTGAGAATGCCAAAACTGCACCGAGCTGGACATGGTATGGATCCCGCTCGTTTATCATGCCAGAACATCCTCCAGTGTCTGAGCCAGAGGTCTTCAACTGCAGTGCCATCTTCAACCCATATACTCCTGACGCCGGCCCAGAACGTGTTCCATCAACTAGGGAGATTCTTGAATTTGTGTAGAATCTCAAGGTCGGGTCGCATCTTGTCGACCCTGGATGGGACCTCGTGCGTCAAATGGGATTAAGATGCCGAGCTATGCTGGGAGATAATGAATGTGTCAACGTATCGATGGTCAAGGATGCTGACGTCGTAGGTCGGATGAGGTTCCAACTCGGTACGTTTACTGGGACATACACTGGTTCTGATGGCTGTGGTTAAGTCTACAGGGTCTAGCTGGACGTGTAGATCTTGGCACGAAGAACGCAGGGACAAAGGAAGAGGCGGATGTGGACGATGGCAAACATTTTCATTTCCTGTCTCAAAGAACAGCGGGGGCCCTGCAATCAGTTCGGTATCCACTAGGATATTGGATATCTTCCGCGCCTCTGTTTGCGTTGTGGTCAAATTATCCTCGTTCTCGAGGTAATTTTGCCTACATTATTGTTCTCCATCACCTTCTACTGCCCCTTTACATTTCAAGGCGCCCGTCATTTCTACCCCTTGGTTGTCCAAACAGTCCGGTGTTCCCAGCACCGTGTTGTCTTCGGTCACGCCATCACGACCTGCCTCGGTCCACGTTCCGAGTCGATGTCGGCTCGAACCACACTATCAGACCTCACACACCTCCAAATGACTCCCCTGTCGCGTCCGAGATGGTGCTTGCACCTCTCTTCTCATTTGCCCTTCCAGCGGACTCTTCAACTCCGACCATTCTTGTCTCTCCCAACGGAAATTCGTATTCGGATCGACGCAGAGGTCTTCAGCAAGATCCCGATTAATACACGATGCAATGTCCAGCTCGCGAAGGAAACAGTTATGTTAGAATTAGAATAGGCATCTTTATCCGGTTACGGAATTCACCCCTCGTCACACTCTCGCCATCTAGAGCGTCAACAAGCAAATCAGACTGGAAGCAAAACCCCTTGCGATCAACCGTCCGATCTTCGCTGAGATCGACTATTGGCAGCAGGAAGAGGCCCCACCCGCGTACACTTCCCTCTTCCCATGCATGCGCGTCGCCGAGTCTGCTCGTTTGGTCACCAGTAGAGGCGTTGCAAGAGGAGGGGGCAGCTTCAGTTCCTTATGGCAGAGAAACGAAATCCAAACTTACGTTACATGAATTTTGGAGCAGGACCAGACTGACTACATGTAACCAAGAATCTCATTGTACCCCTCCTTCGCGCGAGCGTCCCTGCGTTCATGGCTCCGACTTCCTCGGAGGTCCGCTTTGAGCAAGAGTTCCCTGATGTGTTCCTCGAGATTTTCAGAGCAAATGACGCCACTTTCAAGCTCTCAGTCGACCTCGTCATTCACGATAAAGCTTCCATCGCCGATGAAGACGATGATGAGAACGATGCCGATGACGAGTACTATCTCGAAGCAGTAAGCGCTTGCTACCAAATCTAATTCTTGTGTTCATGTGCCCCCAGAACCCCATCTGGAACAGACAGGGGTGGAGGAACGCCGTTGCTGAAATCGAGAGATTGGCACCAGGCCTGCTCCCAAAGTCGAGCTCTTAGATAGGGAAACCTTTAAAAAGAGGCAGATGGAACGAGGGGGGCTCTCGCCACGAATACAAGTAGGCTGTGACGCTGCGGCAAATCCATTTTCCGTTCCGATGCACAAGGCTCCGAGCCGCTAATCTCCTCTTCTGCCGAGGATTATCCACAATTTTTCCTCACCCTGCGACAATACAGTCGCGAAAACAGTGACCAGGAAATCTGCCACCGTGAAGTCTGTAACTTTCTTGATAAATTTCTACTGTCTCACGTCTAGATTATTTTCTCTCCATTAGCACCTACAAAATGGATCTCGATGACAGACCGAAACTCTCAGTCGAGGCTGAGAAAGAGGTGACTAGGTTATGGCGAACGTGGAGGACAGTGTTAGAGATGCTCGTCGACAGAGTATGCGACCGAACAACTCCAGTGGCTCTAGATTGTCGTGAAAGTTCTGATATATCTTCTAGGGCTACGCAATCGCAGAAAACGAGTTAAAAATCTCGCGCGACGAGTTTCAGCGCAAGTTTGGCGACCCTCAAAGCGGCCATGCAGAGTGAGTTCCAGTCAAACCCCAACAAGGTTGCTCCCGATTCTCACATTCGACAGGCGGAGGCTCATGAAACTGCAAGCCGTACCTACTGAAGAGATGATCAAACGCGATACACCCCGGGCCACCAAACTCAACCCCAACCCGCAAACCACAGCTGGCACGATCTGGGTCGAATTCAGCCCGGAAACCACCATAGGCATCAAGCATCTTCGCGCTTTTGCCCAACACCTCGACGCGAATAAGTTCACGACAGGAATCTTCATCACCATTGGCCCGGTGACTGCTGCTGCTTTGCGCGCCTTCGAGCCGCTTGCCGAACGAGGAATTACTGCCGAGTGGTTCCAAGAGCAGGATCTTCTCGTCAACATCACGCGGCATGAACTAGTACCTAAACATGTGCTCTTGAGCGCAGAAGAGAAGAAAGTGTTGCTGGACAGATACCGACTGAAGGAGACGCAGTTGCCCCGCATCCAGTTTAGTGACCCCGTGGCCAAGTATTTGGGCTTGAAAAGGGGCAATGTTGTCAAGATTATCAGAAAAAGTGAGACTGCGGGAAGGTATGCTAGTTACCGGTGGGTGTTCTAGTGTCCAAGGACATTGCTTCCGAGCGCGGAGTTTTGGGGCCTTCGGAGAGGGATGCAAAACTGCATTGTGAGGCGTTCGGTTGGGCCGGCACGTGCAGCCAGCACGAGGGCTTATCGCAGAGGGAAAGTGGCAAGTTCAATATCTCCGAGTTGTCCTCGAACAGGGCAGGATCTGGAAAACTCAACGCTCGGAAGACAGCAGCTATGCGACTGGTTCTCGAGATTCCATTCGTTGGCGTACTCGCAGCATATCCCAAATCGAGAGTATTGATTCGCAAACCACAGAACTTCCGACGAACCTTAGCAGCCTGTCTGTCACCCCATTCTCAGTCTGATAAACCCTCTTCTGCTCTCAAAGCCCAGAATAAAGCCTCAGCTGTTCGTCTTGCCCAGCACGCGTTGACCAATCCTGATCAAATCCTGATTTTGTAATGGATCCTTCTCAAATCCATTCACTGCTTGATCCAACATCGCGGCCGAGATGTCCACGACACTCACGCTGGGCACCGAAACCACGAACCAGAGCACAGTCGCTCTCAGCCAGTGCAAGATACTCCCTGGTTGCGTGATCAGTCCTGGTTTCGCGACGGTGGCCTCGATCTCGCCTGCGTGGGAAGATGCGAAGGCCAGGACTTGATTCTCGGTCTCGCCCTATTCGGGCAATGTCAGAGCCTTTAATCGGGATTGTATGGCGTCAAAAGCCAGGAACTCACGCGCATCAAGCAATATTTGGGCATTATCGTGGGTTGCTTTGTCTGGTCACGTTCTGCAGCCATGCCACTCATGTACAAGAACCGGAACGGCGCGGACTTGGTCGCAGAGCCTCGGGCTTCGAACAATGCTTCGAGGCCAGCCATTGTATATTCGTGGCAAACACGATAGACTTCGTCCCAAGGCATGCTTGTGGATTTGCTGGGGGTGATTGCGAGGGTCCTACAAATGGACTTTCAGCCACTAACATCTTTGCGATGTTGATATGGAGAAGAAGTAGCAGACAGACAGAAAACAACGGACCAAATACAAGCATCGGCCCCCTTCAACTGCTTCTTCACATCGTCCGGGTACTTTGCGAAGTCTTCAAGGACAACACTCCTCAGCTTGGAAGTGTCTGCTCCAGGACCCAGATTGTCGGGCACCGTAATTGGGCGACGTGCCAAGGCAACCACCGAAGTTATGTTCTGGTCGCTCAGACTTTGGCGGATGAGTTCTGTCGCGACGAATCCTGTAGCTCCTGATATGACAAGCTTCATGATTAGAGACCGGTCTTGAAATTAGGTTTCTCCTGGATCGAGACGTAGTGGCGCATAGCTGTCTAGAAGCGAGGACGACACGGCACAGATGTGTTCTTAACATTTTGTTGAGTAGGAGCTCGCGACGTACTACCTATTTAACACGGGCTCCGCGACGTGGGGACCGCTGAGGGCTGGTGGCCTTATAGCTCTGTTAGACTCGCCGGCCTGAGTAGCTGGAGTGGCCTAGGCTGGCCTAGGTTTAAGGTGCGGGTATATAACAAGCCCGTAGAGCTTGCAATGTTACTAGCATATACATACTAACTACTAATGGACTAATTCCCTCACTAATTATGCAACTGTCTCCGACCCGGAATGCATAATTTTTTCATAATAACGAACCACCTGCAAACCACCTGTTCAGCTGCTAGTTGTCATTGACTCGCGTGTTTGCTGACGAAGTATCGCAATTGGCCTTGGTACAGCTCAAGATGATCGAGCGCTGCCTAGCTTCGCGTGATGATCGCCAATTGTTGACTCATGGATAACCTAACAAGTAGTATGAATCTTCGGCAGCTGCCACTCCCCAAGATGGGCATTAACCTGTTAAGCTGCCCCCCTCGTTGCTGGGGATAGTGACAAAGGTATGATATCGCTCCAGCGGACAAAATCCTTTCCGTCGCCCTGTCTATTTTATCTACCCAGTACCGAGTACTTTCATCAGTATCCACTTAGTGAACCCCACTCTCGTACTTTCTTTTCTCTAGTCAAATTGTGCAAATGTCAAAGACACAGGAGGTCTTCAAACGAGGACAGGGAAGCGCAAGGCTTACAAACACTAATTAGCCCATCGAGGACTGATGATGACAGAGCATAGCCCTACGCAACCTTGTGCAGCCTCGTCTCAATCAGACCCAGAACGCAAGAGCATGGAAATGAGAGACACGCCAGCATCTCACAAATCCAGTCTTTCTGTTGCAAAGGGAAGACATTACCCGGTATTTATGTTTTCTATCACCACGATCCCTGTGTCTGATGTCATTGCTCTTTCAACACACATATCTCTGGGATAGGAATGATTTTGGCCCTTTTGCTGAACATCTCCTAGTCCGCAAGTGCCGAACTTTACGTCTCTGGCAGAGCGTGACTATCTTTTAGGATGCGTTTGAGGAATTCTCCAGTTATAATTGGAGTTCGTGCACAGAACGATATGAAAATATACGCTCAGGACCAGTTTCAGCGAGAGTCGAGTTGGATACACATAATACCATCGCTACTCTACTCGCAACCTTGCCCTCGTCTTCAATAATTGCTCGATGCTCCCAATCCTCTCTATACACAAGAACACCCACCCATGGCGACACCGTCTGACTACTACCAATGAACTGTCCGATGAGGAGGAGGCTGTTGATTGAGGCCATAAGAGGCGACAGGTTTTTGACGAAGGATCATTGCCCTTGTTTGAGTCTCCGAGAGAAAAATATGCCGTTGCCATAATTTTCTGATAATCCTCGACGGAAGGGGTGCAGCGGCGACATTTACAGCTGCATACGCAATAGCTAAAGGGGCAGTGCTTGGATTGCGATTTAGCGACAGAATATCCGGTCCGCCTTTCTCGCCCAGTACAAGACGTTCGACTTTCGCAGCGTTCCCTCCCCTCTTTGGAGCTGTGTACACATACACTGGTGTAGTGCCAGAGCAGACCACAACTGGCCGCTCTGAATGATCGAGACACGATCAAGAAGGCAGAGTGTGAGTAGACGAGTTGGGAGGCCGCGTATTAGCTCTGCTTGGCAAGATGCTCTTTGCCTTCCAGCCAGGATACGGCGAGGTCTCCTCCCTTCGTGGTCCGGCCCGCTAGCGCATGGCTTCCATCTATTTCCTGGACTAACTGCTAGAGCGCAAGGACCGAAACCTCCGGGTTATGGTCGGTCACGATGAGTCCACTAAGGGTCCAAACACACCGCTTACCAATGTCGGGGAGACATCCAGCTGGATGTCAACCTTGCTCTGGAGGACGAGTTGACTCCAATAGGCCCTTAGGCCCGCTGGGGCATGGTACATACCTACCTATCTGCAGGTTTACGCCACTTGCCATAGGTACAGTCACCAAGCCTGCCGGCAGCGCGTCCTCATACAGAGCACGTTGTAGATCCACACGACACGACACGCTTCTGGCGGTGGCGGTGTGCTCTTTTGCCTTGGCAGTTTCGATAGCTCGGTTCACGGATTCTCAAACCATGCTTCGACGAGGGCTCCGTATCTTGTTCGCTTTCCATTCCCTCGTCTACATGGAAAGGGGCGAGTGGACGCCATTCTGAACACGAGGCCCACGACCGGCCGCGGAGTACTCTTGCAGTCGGAGGATATTATGTACCTCTTTGAATAATACAGGCATGCGCGATGTTCGAAGATGGAAGGCACTGCAGGATTTGAGCAACTTCAGACCTGGAGCGGCATATTTATGATGAAATGGCAATCTAGATTGGGGTATTCATATACATGACATATCTATTCCTGACCGGCTCCGTATTCGTTATATGTTTCCCGCCCGTGAGAATGTTAGTACTTCCCCCTGAACCCATGATCAGAACGCCCACAACGACCATCCGCATAGTTTGCAAGGTATGCTCCGGCGAGTTTCGATTTCCCAAACGTTGAACCTTGAGCACCATTGTTATTCTTGTTCCTATTCATTTCCCCCTTTTTTCCTTTCCTTTTTTCCCTTTCTTTTTCCTCGTTGTCTCCTACCCGTTTAGGCACCCTTTAATTCTAGGATTTATCCATCCATGCTGTTGAGTGCGATGCTAGAGGAATGCTTCGAGGAGTCTCCTATTCTGCTGTATTGTCGGCGGTGGCGGAATGCCATGAACTCGAGACCAAGGGCAAGCACAGCCGAGACTATGCCGACTGCGATGGCAATGCCAGTGTCGTCGCTGAGCAGGGCGCCCCTAGTTAGATTGCAGGTCAGCTGGCGTGCCTCATTTGTCAGCTGTCAACTCCTTGACTCACAAAACCGCATTGACCATGCCTGCGTAGATGAGAACACGACCGAGCCAGAGATGGAAATATGATGGGACGGTGCGGCGGCCGGCCTTCTTGTAGTTGACGTGGTGAATATAGCCCATGACGACCTGAAATGACAATACTGCGACGACGATTATTCCAAGGACCTGATGCGTTTCACCAAACGCTGCGTATTCGATGCCGGCAATGCTCATGGCAACGGCTACCGCTAGTCCGATGTACGCTCCGACCGTGGCGAAGAGTTGCAGCATCCAGTGCACCTTGAATGCAATCGACCATCTCCACCGCAGGCCGAGGACACCGACCGGGAAGACAATAACGAACGCAACGCCTAGGAGTATCGCGTGTGCATAGACGAGGCCGTGGTAATAGTCAGGCTGACCTTCTGCCGAGACGCTGGACGTGCCTGATATGCTGGGGACGGTGGCAACTGCATTCTGTGTCGCGGGCATGTCGACGAAGAAGACACCTGCAAAAGAGTGTCAGCAAGTCTCCCGCAAGTTTCCTTCCGATGTGATTAGACCTACCGTAGTGCGAATGCTGGTCGATCTCTGCGTCGACGGAGTTTGACTGGAGCTGCTCGTTTGGCCCGACCGCCCATATCCATGACTGCTTGGTATCTGTGACTTTGACCTTGTTGAACTTATGGCCCGAGCTCTGATGCCACTGAATAGTTGCTGTCATCTTTCCGTTTTCGACCTCGGAACTTAGCACGGTTGCGTTGACACCTGACACAGGCTCAGGTGTGTCGTGGCCGCTGTTGAATGAGGATCAGTACTGGGTCTCGCAGTGTGCCTTTTATGTGGTGTGCAACACGGACCTTGAGGTTCTCACGCTTAGCGTGACCTCTGCAAGTACTTGTCAGTGTCCGCTGGCACTTTGCTCTAAAGAGAAACGGGAACGAAAAGACTTACCATTGTCTTGACCGGAAGGATATATGATGAACATGAGGGAGTCGTGCATACGATCTCCGGTCCCTACCGAAGCCCAGCCATAGGAAACGGGCGCCGAAATCTGAATGTTGAACTCTCCAGCGTCGACATTGCCGCTGGTGCTCGTGGAAGTGATGGCAAATCCAAAATTCTCTGATTTCTCGTAGAATTGGGCTTGTTTGGCGAGACAAAGGGCTGCAAGTGCTGTGGTCCTAGGTCAGCTCGTAAGAAAAATGGACATGTGGAATTGCAGCCACTCACAGAGCAACACCTCGGAATGTGCGACGAGTCTCGTGAGCATCTTCATCTTTGCAGGCAGAAAATTCGGTTCAAATGTTGTATTCCCAATCACCGCCCAAGGCAATCGAGAGGTTTATGGGCAAGGAAGAAGGCCTGAGTTGCATCCTGACTTCAGGTTGGTACTTATACCGAGAAGTGTTGCCGTGCCATGACGATCGAAGCTCCTGCCGAGCAAAGCTTGCGTATGCTGTTCTTGGTCGTGTAGGCGCCTGCATTGAGGCTGAGCGGGTTGGCTGGCTGATATCATACGGGCCAAGCTGTTTGTTTGACCAGATGTCTACCAATGAGGGCGCGTGTATTTGTCAGAGCTGGAAATTATCGCCCTGGCTGGAATTTGCGCTAAACGGTTTATTTGTGGCGAAAGGGCGAGGTACATATCAGATGAAAGAATCAGATTAGATGTCAAGCTCAGGTGGTTGTTCGAAATGTAATATGCATCAGATGCCAAGGACGACCAAGGAAGGAAGGCGTTCAAATTGGCAACTTTTAAAGTTGGGATGCGCTAGCCTTTTCCGAAAAGTATGGCTTGGCAATTATGTAAGGCATTTTCAGGGTCATTCAGCCTTACTTCCCAGCAGCACATTTCAACTTCCGAGCATCCTCCAGCCTCCTGACCATCATATGGAGGCCAGGCACTCCGTTCTATATTTGTAACACCTGCCCTTAGTTTGCCGCGGATGTTAATGCTCGGGTACGGGCCCGATGCTCTCGCGAAAGTCCTGAAATATGACACCGCGGTACCTGTTACTGGGGAAAAGGCCGAGCCGGTCCCGACTGCGCGCCTGTCCGGTTCGCAACAGGTCATCATGCTCCGGTTCATGGTTCAAGAGAGCGAGGAGACCTCCTCTGGGGAAAAGAGCAATGGCAATGGCAAGTAGTACATATACAACGCAGTTGATGGAGTGTCAAATTTCTGTGTCGGCTAGATAGGTGGCTCCTGGAGTTTCAACTTTCAATAACGATAACTCAAACCTGACGACAATATGAGCAAATTGGAAGTCCAAAGACCCGGGGACATAGGCAACGCCTTTAAGGCTGCTGTCCAGGATGTTCTTGACTTCAACAACTCTTTTGACTGGCCCGAGGTTCACACGTTTGTTTACCGAGAGATAGACGGGATCAAGATCGAAGCAGATGTTTGGGTGAGGGAGACGTCGTCGAACGAGAAGTCCGAGAGCCAGCCAGCCAAGCAGCCAACTGTCCTCTACATTCATAGGGGTGGTTGGATGGCGGGTGGGCGCACTGATTTTCCCAAGCCGATATTGCATGAATTTCTCACACGGGGATTCGTCTACGTCTCGATTGATTACCGTCTAATCCCCGAGGTCGATTTTATCACTGGGCAACTGGACGATGTGCGTGTGATTGAGACGTGGCTTCGCGACAGGCTTCAGTCTTCTTTGGTAGATCGAGGTGTGAATGTGACGGTCGATACCGATGCAATTGTGGTCGCCGGTGGTTCTGCTGGAGCACATCTGGCATCTTTTCACGGTTGGTGTTCCCACAAAAAGGCTCAAAGCTCCGGCTTTGGCAACGAGAGGTAATATACCAACGTATTTAAACAGCCCAAGATATGGAAAAAGAAGCCGCAAGCTCTCCTACTTATGGCGGGACCAACAAATCTCCTCGAGTCCCGCAGACTTGGCCGAGCAATGGCTGGAGGCAAACTCAATCAAATCGTCGAGAATTGCCCCATGGACCCTACACCAGAAATTTATCAAATCAGCCATGTTCGACAGCCCGAGGACCAACACACAGGCTACAGTTAGCATCGAGGCTTTCATGCATCCCCGCTCATTGCTGGGTCTGTCCATCTTTCTGAACGAAGTAATCGCTGATTTTCTTGTTCTCGGTCTGGTTGATGGGAAGTTCCCGAAGAAAGGCAGCGCCCCTGAAGATAAAGTAAAATTCCTCAGTAGGTTAACTCAGAGAACCATCATTTTCTCCTGTTTCTTGCATGAAGCAACGCTGGCCACGCTGACATCACGATGTAGGTGCATTCTTCGGCGATCTCAGCGATTTGGCCTCCGACGTTTCAGATGGTTGGCGACAGCGATGAAGCCTGGGATGCGTCGCAATTGACTTCGCTCCATGATAAATTGAGAAAGCACAACATCCCCTCTGGGGTGCTCGTGGTGCCTGAGAAGTCTCATGCATTCGAGAATATGTCCAAGATCGGCGATCAGTTGCATTTGAGGTATATTCAGCCGGCTTGTGAGTTTGTGGCGAGATATGCCGTGAAGGACAGCGAGGGGAGGTGACAGATAAAGGCCTGTGGGTCAGATAGACTGCATTCTTGAAGTTCCCTGAGTGTAATAGATTACATCCAGGAGCATTCACAAAGGCACTGAGCAACATGTCAGAAAATGGAAGTACCACTCCATGGACCAAAAGAAATTGGCTTAGAAAATATTCTTAATCTCCTAATTCTGGTTCTCTGAGTAGCTGGAAATACTTAGATGGCTGTTCATGCTAGAATAGCAGCATTGCTAGAACTCCAGCCCTATAATACAAGTCGTAAAGAAAGTATGTCGCGCTGATGATGTTTCCTCAAGTCCCAAAGGAGTATAGTCCAAGTTATATAGCCGGAGGTCTGTGACTGGGTAGTAGAGACGAGCCTCGTTACTGGAAAACGTCTCGCCAAATTCATTTCTTGAGACGAATTTCTCGCCTCACAGTGTATTTTTCTTTCTTTCTGTCTCTTCCACGAATACACATATAGGGAGTACGTAAACACATTTGCTTCAATTCTTTCGTTATCATCGCCCTTTCCAATCGGCCCACTAGTGGAAGGTCACCAAAGTCTGAATATCTCCCGGTCCCCAGACCAGACATAGTAGCCTCATATGCCTTCGCCCAGCTTGTTCAATCTTTGAGTCCGTTCCCCGTCCACTCGAATATCCGAGCCCCAGGTATAGAACCTTATTGAGCAAACATAGCGGAAATAAGGATTTTCATGGTCGGTAAGATCGACGAATGCAGCTTGTTCTTTAGGTAATGTTGACTGCAGGCATTCGCGGCGGCATTTGTCTGCATTGCCAGGTCATGACGACGGTTGAAGCGCTTGTAGTACAATCTGCAAAAATCATGATTAGTTTGTGTGATGTGCACCACACAATCATGAAGAAACTTACAGAAGCGTTACCATCGCGACCTCTGCTGCAGTCATTGATACCATGAGGATGATCATTCCAGTGGGGTAGCCCTCACTGGCTTCGCTGCCCTTAAACGCAAAAGGACCTGTGATGCCACCAATTGAGGAGACCATGAAACCCATAGCGTTTGCTGTTGTTTTCCTAGTATATCCAGCAACGTTAGATGCTAGAAGACCAAATGTCTGAATCAGAGCGCCGTAGAAGAACACAGTCTAGGATTGTTAGGATTGTCAAACACTGAAGACCAAATTCAAGCGTGAGGAGTGCATACAAGATAGAGGGAAGCTAAAAGGCCTCCTTGATTATCCCTTGGTAACTTCCAGAGTGGGTCATATGCAACGATTGTAGGTATTACAAACCCCATCGCGATTATGATACGCGAGTTTCGAAACTTGTTGGCCATGGATCTAGTGAGCAGAACAAGTGCAAGTCAGTATTTTTCCGTAGATGCACAAGAATAGGAAATTGACCAATGTCTTCCTACCCAGAGACTATCATGAGGATAATGACAATACCGGAGCATGGCATGTACAGTTGCACCGTTTTAAAGTTTGAAAAGCCAAAGCCGCTGAGAACGATTGCCCCAAAACTGATACGAGTTAGCATGATGTTGAATGATCAGAGGCAGAGCGTACCTCCCAAGCGCGGCCGTGGCGAAGGCAAAGAAAAAACCAGTCACGCATATGAGCTAGAGTTGCGGATCGGTAAAGGCTTCTAGGACCTGATGGGGCTTAAACTTGCGTGTTTGAATCCCAGTTTGATTCCTTTGTAGCCTCCTGACAGCAATGTTTCGTTCTCGTTCGGTCAAAAAATGAGCTGTCATCGGAGAGTCTGGGAAGAAAATGCCAAAGAAGATGGCGTATGCGACAGTCATGGATCCCAACAGCAAATAGATCCACTTCCAGGCACTTTTTTCGAACTGCCCATTGATCGAAGCTGTAGTGTAATCAAACGCTTGACCGACGATCGCTCCGATAGAGGCACCACACATCCAGAGTTCAATGCGAAGAGGTTGTTCCTCTGTTTTCCACCTGTGAAAATTCATTCAGGCATCTTAATCCAATAGAATGGAAAATGACTCACCACATTGAACTAATCAGGATGCAAACTGAGAGCCCAACTCCTTGGAAACCATAAAAGAATCTGATCGTCATTAAGTAAACAGTTGAGTACAGGGAAATGTTAACTCGCCTCAGAGCCATGGTTCCCGCAAAGTTGTTCAGAGTAAGAAAGAGGAGCGAAAGGGCTCCAGAGTACATGACGACTTCTGTCATATACTTTCCAATCGGTAATCTCTGGGCAAGCACGAGAAGAGGATACTGACTCTGCGGAATTGGCAGTTAGTTTGCGGCGATCAGAAAAGTCGAACCAGACTACGAAAGACGCAGAATGAGATTCCCGAACGTCAAGATTGAGTTGGTCCAGGAGTATTGGTCAGGCTGGGGATTACTGGGTTGGTGCTGATGATGGTGTAGAGTTTGAGATCTTGAATCAAGCCGAATATTGCTGCAACTCCAAATGCTTGACTATCGCAGGATATCATGATATTGGCGAGCACCAGCTGCATATATAGTAGGTCATTTGCTGGAGTGAATAGAGGGGTATCTCATTGTCTTACCAATATGATAATACGTATATCGATCTTCCACAATACCTTCCTCTCTTCTTCTTCTGTCCATTCGATAGCACTGTGCACTTGAACAAAACGATGGGCATCGTCGACTTGCTTGTTGTTTTTGACAGGCTGTTGCGTTTCTTCGTCGTGTTCCACGACAGATGTAGCTATCTTGTCTGCTGAGTCCGCCATTGCGAAAAGGTTTGGTCGATGTGAGTAGACGTTTCGTAGGCCTTCGGCAAATTTGTAGCCGTTCTGATAGAAGGCAGCAAGTAATATCTGGTCTGATAGAGTCCACAATTTTCGTGCCGACACGGTCTCCGGGGCTCTAGATATCCCCACGGGGTAACAGACAAGATGAGAAGGATGATGAGATTTGCTCCCGAGAGCTCATGTCGCATGAGACAACGGTGGATTGATGCCGGATCCGGTCCTCGAACCGGTCGGTCCTCATTTGTCATCTTAGACAGGCCAGGGTCAAAAGTGTGGGGTTTAAACTGGGGGTGGCGTGGAATTCCGGTTTATGATGACAGCTCCCACCGATAAATCCGGACCCTGCAGTCGGTACCCGACCACTCTATGGAACATTCCAATCCGCTGTGTCGTTGAGGAACTCAGTCAACCAAGCTGTCGGGTCCCAGTGGGATGAATCGTTCAGAAAGCCATTTGAGGCTATACCTCCCTCGACTCGAGTGACGTGGATGACCAGCTCCGCATCGGGCTCCTGCATCTGTGGACCGGAGTTCAGGAAGCTCTCGTTAGTACTATTCTGCATGCTTCTACCTTGAAATTCTCTGCATTCAGGTTGGCGCATCTGCGACAGGCGCTGTTTCAGAGACCGCGCAAGCTGGGCGGTGCAGTGATTAGGACTGACTGCCAAATCTGCCATCAACTTGGACAATGCATCAACCCGATTCAAGGCGTCCTTGAGTTCAGCATAAACAGGTTGAACACGGTCGTGCACCTGTATGACAAACAATGCCACGAACGCAATCATGACAAATCCAAAATCACTCATATACCTCAAGGTGTCCTTGCTGACGGGAGACAGATGCAACGCCCAATCTAGGATTTCGAGAGCGTATTGCACGCATTGCTTGACAGATTCTCTTTCGCTGCCGCTAAGATTGCCGGTTGATACTTGGATGAAGCGAAGCGCGTAGCTAGTGATACAGAATCTTGCATAACGAAAGTGGAAATCCAGGCCAAGTCCGAAGCCTCCTGCGGGAAAGGTCAGACTAGAGGGGTAAAATTAGAGCAAGCTAAGATATCAGACCTCGAGCTATGAATGCGTTCCATTTGTTGCACCAAGCTTGAATCTCCATCTCTGCAGTTTCCAATGCAGCAGAGGGAGAGCAGTCCAGGCTTTCGAGGTTTTCAGGGACCCACCACCATTCATTTAGGCGGCAGTCTAGGGTACTCGCCTTTCCCAAATGATCAGTACTACAGGCGCCGCGCGTGATTGACTGAGGCATTCGTCGTACCTTCTCCCACAGCAAACACAACTCGACCTCTCCGAGGAGCCTGCTTGTCCGAGAAGACTTGTTGATTCCAGCTAAGAGACTTGTGGCGATGCGGATAGAAGCGTCGCCTCGAATACTTGGAGGGCTGCTATTCAGAATGGCAGTGCTTTGTGTTTGTTCAGTGAGTCTGCAGGCAATCTCTTTCAGAATTGGGAGACTTACTGATGAGCCATAGTGTACAGCCATAGCCAATAGGTGTACTTTTTATACTCTATTGTTTTATTAATGTCCCTTCTACCAGCTATCAAGTCTTTCTTCACACCCTCCACGGATCGATGGCAGCCAATGTCGATTACATGTCCCTCAACCAATGCCTTGAGAACTGAGGTTGGAACTGGATGACGGGTGGCAGTACCAGCTGGTGACGGTCGCGCGTAAGCGTAGAGTATCATCAAAACACGAAAATCTTGAAGATTGTCAGCTGAAGTGTTAATCGGGTTGGTGCACTTCTCAAGAATAAACTCCGAAACGAGACCTCGGAGCGCATTTGCCGTGGAGATGCCTCCAGCAGGGAAAAACGAGCTCACATAACAAATGCAGTAGGCTAAATTCGTATGATTGTCGAGCAATGATTCTGCGTCAAAGTCGTCCTTGCTGAGAACCGGGATGAAGTTCAAAATTCTTTCAAGAAATCTGAGCATGGTAAGATGTCGCCGAGAAAGCAAAGAGATGCTGTCAGACATACATGTGAATGGACTGTTTGATATCAGTCCTGGAAAAGGGTAATTGTGTCATCGTTTCCGACCGATCACTGCCACTTGACCTCAAGTCTGTGGGATCACCTTCGATCCCTGGAGTACAAACTATGACTTCATTCATGTGGGTGCTGTGGTTATACGGCTCACTATTTCCCACGACTGCGGAGACGGGAGATGTTGAATAGATAGAGGGCAGTTCACCTCCGTCTGATATGGCTCGCTCCTGAGGCAAAAGAGTATAGTGATCACTCAATTGGTTGTCACTCGCGGTGATGGAGAATGTTAACCTGGGAGGAAATCTTGTGGCCGGGTTGAAACAGCCAAAATTTGTCTGTCCTGGTCAAAGAGGGTTGACGCGTGTAAGCACCATTATAATCGTCGGGTCGAGCAGAAGACAGAACCTGATCACGGTGTTGAACGCCCGTTGTCTTTGCCTGATCGCCTTGACGGAATTCGCATACTTGTCCGAGCCTTTCGCAGCGGCGACAAGTTGAAGTATCGGCGGACATGACACATCGCATCTGGACGGTGTTAGCTCTGGAGCCTCTTGCTGTGTCTCATACTTTAAAGGATTGCGGCTGACCTTAAGGCGTCAACACTTTCTGCATGCTTGAGCGGCTCTTCCAGGTTTCGCGTATCGTAGATGGGGTGTTTCTGGATGTTCGCCTGGCGTCGCGCTATAAGGCGGATCTCTGTGCCTCCGCTGGTTATGACTTTCGATGCTGCAATTTCCAGTTTGCTGAGACATGAATGCCATTGGAAGCACGATTTAATTCCAAAGAACGGGGCGCAGAAATTGACCGTCTCTGTGCTCCAAACGAGAAGAACAAAACATTAAGAACTCAACGCAATGCGCATCCAATGCCTGGATGCAGACAACTCCGCATCGTGATCAGTTCGCAAGAAATGAGCCTTACTCGACCTATCGAGTTTCTAGAGCCTCGGCTTCAAGTTATCAATGACTTTTCGTGTGTAAGGCGGGATCGGCGAGGTAGCGAAGTCGCAGCGGAGCATCAATGCAGGACAGGAGGAATTGTCGAGGGTGACTGTTAAGGATCCAGGCTCGGTTCAATGAACCGGCTCCAGTCCATGTTCCGGTCGCGGTTCAGGGACACAGCGGAGCTCTTCTCACAGACAACTCCCACAACGCCCCTTGCTGCCTCGGTCGTCCACACGTCTTAGATACACTCACATCAACCCCTCGTCTCAAGAAGGACGCACTAGGATCTTGCCGTCTAGCATTTGCAGTAAATCGAGACCTTCGATGTGCCTTCGGACGGACACAGACATGAAAAAGAGCCCATCAGCGAACCGATATCCAGCCTCAGGCTCGGTTCCGAGTGACTCACGATTGTCCGAAACATGCCCAGCAAGTATTCCCTTTCCTGCGATGACCATAAAAGCAAAGTCACCTCACTGAAGGCAGTCTCTACGGACAAAAGCCTTGGTGTTACGACTGGTCAAAATCGGGTGGGTGCGTGGCGAAATGGGTGACGCCGGCCATCGGCTGGAGTCGATTCTCCATCATTTGACTCTTCCTGAGACGATCTCACTACTCTCTGGGAAAGACACGTACGAATCCCACCCATCTGAACTCAGCCACAATTTACAATCTGACAAGTTACAGATGGCATACAGTGTCCATCCCTCATCGAGGTATTCCGTCTATCCGTGTAAGTACGGTCGCATTTGTGGATAATCAAGTTCTATTTGCTAACAACGGATACCACGGACAGGTTTCAGATGGCCCAAGCGGAGTGCGAGGGTAAGAAGGACCGCATTGTGCCAAGAATGAACTAGAGCTCGTGAAAAGGGAGAGGATCTTCTAACTTTTGAACTAGGCGCCGCACCTTTCAAGCTTCACCGACAACATGTTTTCCCTGTCCAATTGCGCTAGCTTCAACATGGGACGTCAACCTGATGAAAGAGATCGGGACCCAGATGGCAGGGCAAGCAAAAGCACAAGGTGTCCAGTACGGACCTGAATCACGTTGACCACGCCCTTGCTGATTGAGACCCTGTTGCAGTGTGATACCGACTCCCACAATCAACATTCAGCGATCTCCTATTGGAGGAAGGAATTTCGAGTCCTTTTCAGAGGACCCGGTGCTCTGTGGCTTGCTAGCCTCCAGCCTTGTCTGTGGTATTCAACATGAAGGCATTGCAACAACAGTGAAGCACTTGGTATGCAATGACCAAGAAAGCCAGCGCAAAAAAATCGATGTCATCGTCGAGGAAAGGTCAGAATACGTTATACGTCCGAATCTTTGCTGCCACTACCTAATCTGACCTTCTGCAGAGCCTTAAGAGAGATCTATCTCAAGCCATTCCAGATGGTGGTAAGGAATGCTCAGCCTTGGGCTATCATGGCGGCATATAATCGCGTGAATGGGCTCCACGTTAGTGAAAACCCTCATCTTCTTGAGAAGGTTCTTAGGAGTGAATGGGGCTGGGATGGAGCTATCGTGTACGTTCAACTTGGGAGCCCTTCGTTTTCAACAGATGCGGCTAACATTGCAGATCTGACTGGTTCGCAACCTATTCAACCTGCGAGGCTCTAAACACCGGTCTCGACCTTGAAATGCCAGGTAAGACGGAATGGAGAGGTAAACTGGTTTTGAGATCGCTGCATGCTGGCAAACTTGAACCTCCAGTCCTCCAGCAAAGAGCACGAAATGTCCTTAACCTCGTTGATAAAACGCGTGTATCAGGTGTCCCTGAGGACGCTGAAGAGTGGGAAAACAACACCCCTGAAGTGAGAGAAGCAAACAGAAAGGCTGCGACTGAATCAGTTGTGTTGCTGAAGAATGCTGCAAAGCTCCTTCCAATTAAGACACCTGGCCGCGTCGTGATAATTGGACCCAACGCCAAGGAAGAGCTGTACTGTGGAGGTGGAAGCTCAACGGTATTCCCTTACTACTACGTCACTGCATATGACGGCATCAAAAGGGCTCTGGAACTGCAGAGTCCATCTAGCGAGCTAGCATTTGCTCAAGGTTGTTACAAGCACGCACTGCTTCCGGTTCTGTGCACAGAGTCTGCAGATGGACAGAAGGGGCTGGATTTGCAGTTTTTTGATCGTGACTTCACACAAACATCAAATGCTCAAAAAGTTGCAGAAACTCATTCGTTCACCTGGAGGCTTGTTTTTCTCGACAGTTTGCCGAAGGCAGCTCTTCCTTCAGTATATGGTCGCTTGAGAGGAATGTATACAGGGCCAAGTGATGGCGACTTCGAATTTGGCGTTGTCACCACGGGCAGAGCAAAGCTCTACATCGATGGAGTCGCCCTTGTAGACAATTGGACCAAACAAGAAAGAGGAAATCACTTCTTTGGTATGTGCCAGTTTAGCGGGAAAAATTCCATTGAGTGCGTCTAACAAACTCTAGGACTTGGCACTAAAGAAGTTCGCGGGACGATTAATTTGACAGCGGGGCGCCAGTACGAGGTCGTCACTGAGTATTCCAATATAAGCACTCTTTCCGACAGAACTGCGGCTGATCTAGCTGGTGGCATCTTGCGATTAGGGGTGTGCCAAGTTATCAGCCCCGAGGCACTCCTCAACGACGCACTTGAAGCTGCGGCTTTAGCTAATACGGTAATATGCTGCGTTGGAACAGATCAGGAACATGAAAGTGAAGGCTGGGATCGGAAGAACATGAAGTAAGATGAAGCAATGAGCCGCAAAATGGAGCTTCAGCGCTTATCCATCGCAGATTACCTGGATCACAAGATCAACTTGTCCAAGCGGTGTTGAAGGCGAACCCGGGGACCGTAATTGTGAACATCTCCGGCAGTCCAGTGGAGATGCCCCTGGATTGATGAGGCTTCTACAGTGGTTCAAGAATGGTTCATGGGGAGTGAACTGGGCAATGCCTTAGGAGATGTTCTCTTTGGCAGAGTCTCTCCCAGTGGCAAGCTCTCTGTAACTTTCCCGCGACGGCTAGAGCAAAACCTATCGTAAGCTCCACTCTCCATGTCCCAATCTGTTGAATCTCACCTACCAATTGGAGCAGGTATGGCAACTTCCCGGGCGAAAACGGTCGGGTGAGGTATGCTGAAGGCGTAATGGTTGGTTACAGACACTACTCCACCCGACACATACCCACTCTATTTCCTTTTGGCCACGGTCTGTCATTCACGGAATTCAAGTACAGCGAGCTTTTGTTCGAAGGTGACAACGTGCTGCGCCCTGATGGAGTTGTGTCGGTGTCTCTCACACTTACGAATATTGGAGATTTTACCAGCCACGAGATTGTTCAGCTCTATGTGTCTGCCCTCACTAGCTCGACGTTTCGCCCGCTTCTAGAATTGCAAGGCTTTCATAAAGCTCGGGACGTGCAATCTGGAGAAAGCCGTAAAATGACATTCAATATCGACAAGTACGCGGTGTCATGTTATGATGAAAGGCAAGAGAATTGGATGGCAGAAGCTGGCAAATATCGCGTGTCCGTTGGGGCTTCCGTGGAGGACCTGAGGCTGGCTACTTTCATCCAGGTGCCGGCCACTTTCCACTGGTCAGGATTGTAGAGGTGGTTGGTTGATTGACATCGTCTACCTGATGATAGAACAAGTGACAAGGGGAATGCTGTCGTTGATTCGCAGTGATGCTAGTCTCCTTAGAAAGCCAAAGAAATAATAGTATAGGTAGCATTCGACGTCCAGAGAACGGCGAAGACACTCTAGGGGCCAAAAGACAGCAGAAGATCAATTTGCGACTTTCCACTAGGAGCTATTGCGGATGCAGGAGGCCTTGACGAATTTCCTGGTCAGCGTGCTAACTGACTACCGAAAGAGCGAGTTGTGTTCTTTGTCTGACTTGGGAAATAGTAGGAATTGCTGGCGGCAAGGCTCTCGCAACGAGATAAATAGCTCCAGCAGGCCAAAGTGACAGCGACCATCTGGCACTCGAGCTCTATTGTTTCGCTCAAACGGCTATTTCAGATTGTGTCGGCGGGTTCCACTGACTACGACATCAAATCTCTCATCTCTGATGGGGCGGATGAGCTGGAAATGGTGCTGAAATGGAGAACACGGATCAACCCGTTAGCCCAAGGGCAAGCCTATTCACTTGTGAATTAAGACCGGTTCTTCACACGGCTGTCCAGCGAGTGCCCGGACGTACAGCTGGTTGATGGGAATATCTACGCTCGAAGCGGTCTTCTTCAAGAAAAGGTTTCGGTCATGTCCTCGCTTTGTGGCAACTTCATACTCAGAATGGGTAGCCCAGAGTCTCTTCACGTTCTCGTACACTACTACTGTGGTCTCCACTGCTCTCCTGATGATGCCTGTTACGAGCCCAACGGTCTCGCAGGCTCGGTGATCACTCGGCTGTTATTGTAGCTGGGGTGGTTAGGATGGCCTGGATTTGGACTTCCTCTGCCGGCGGTGTCAAGTCTAAGCTGGAAGAACACAGCCTCAATGGCCTGTGTGATGCTGTATGCAAGCTAGTCGCCCAGTTCTTATGCGACACGACGGTTTTTCTCATCTTCGGCTGTGTTTTCCATTTTGACTGGGATCTCCTCGGTATCTTCGCGGACTTGTAGCATGTGATTGACCGCATCCAAAGTTTTGTCGGGGGCGATGAACTGCACCCTAAGCTCAAAGTGATGATGACCCCTTGCTGCAAGGAGTTCGTTGAGATTTGTGGTGACTTATCGGCTCAGCGAACCGACTTCAACTGCCGTTCAGTAGACTCAATCCTCTTATGCTTTCTGGGTCGGGGCTGTGATATCGAGGCCTATGATATCGAGGCCTACGATGACGTTGGTCGATTTCAGCAAGGCGATCTCAATGCCAGGCTGCATCGAAGTAGATGATGTGGATTATGTCGATTAAGAATAAAGTGGCGACCTACCTCGTTGAATATCGCTAACCACATTCGCGCGAATGATGACATTGGCCGCTAATCTTAGATCAGACTAGATGGCTCCTAGCGTTACTAGCTAGGACTTAATATCCGAAGGACTTAAGTTCCTAGGAGACTTAATTCCTGAGGACGTATTACCTCGAGGCTCGAACTCCGTAAACAGCTAGGCATTAAATCCCGGCAACGCCTGGACAGCTAATAGTTTGGCGGCATACCTAACCCCAGACCCCACGATACTTAGATCGAGGATTAGAATCTAGCTAATACAATATATTGTAAAGTTCTAACCAGTGTATTGAGACTGAACATATATTCAGTTCAAGTCTATATCGACCCCGGTTGACAAGGACTAGATGCTCCACTCTACTCTGTACAAACAACGAGAATGCCCTATCAAGAGAAACAAGAGAAACAAGAATGAATCCAGAGTTGCCACTTCATACCCTCAACAAGTTTCTGCACCGCCAAGTAATCTCTCGTCCGGGGAGCCATTCAAGGGTTCACGCCCGAAATCGGGCCGGCGAAGCCTGAAACATTGAAGCCAAGGTCGACGTAGTAAAACACGCTGAATTCGACGTTGACGTGTTCGATGAGGCCCTGGTCGTTGACATCGAAAATGTTCATCCCCTGAACAGCTTGCGGCGGCATGGGAGCATTGAAATTGCCCGGGTTGGCGAATTTCCAATACCAGAGGATCTGGTTGCAATTGAATGGGACAAGTTGAAGATCAGTGATTCCGAAAATAGGTGGCTGGCTCAATACCACGTTGATGTAGCCGGCCTTGCTGGAGAAGGTGAGGTCTCCCGGCTAGTGCGTCTATGTCAGTATCTGAAAATTACGGGGAACGAGAAAGCCTACCTTGAGGCCAAGGAACCCATTGATCGAGTCAGACTGCTCGGTAAAATCGGGGGCAAGGATCTTCTGAGCGGTGGCATTGGCTTGTTGGAGCTGGCTGGGGTCGGCGTGAGCAAGAAAGAAGGCGTAGTCGTGGACGAGCTTTGTGGCCTGATCTTGGGTAACGCATCTTCCAGCGTGGCCACCGCTGCCATACCCGCCGGACCAGTCTGAGGGTGCAGCTGCCGCTAGGTAGGTCATAGCGAGAAAAGAAATAATACTTGCGGCCTTCATGGTGGTATTCAAGTTTTTTTTAAAGGGTGAACTGAAGAGAATAAAAGAATGCTGATGGGTAACGAGTGACTGAAGGAAATAAGAGAATGACCTGCGATTGCCTGTAGTGCGTGACTAGTTACCATTGAGATAAAGAGGTGGGAGCGGCTTTTATATATCTTTCCGAGTGATTCATCATCGGCGATATGGGGAGCCATCAGAGTGGAAGGGATCTGAATATTGTACGCTCCTGCGGCTATCCCTGAGCATGACTGGCACCACGGTAGACTGCCGGTAAGAGGACTGCAGGATGTTAAATTGCATATTCCTTTGACCTTGTGTCATGTGTGGAAATGGAAGCTGCAATTCCCTTGAATGTACGGTGCTTGTCCACCCCCCGTCAGTATATGAGCACCCCGTCAGCGCTACAGCAACCTTGTGTTAATTATGGTTCCTTCAATAGAGGGATTCTTTCAGCGGCATTTCTCCGAGGCTTCATGGCACACGAGGAAAATGCGGAGCAGCATCACCCTATCGCTTGTCACTGGTCCTGATTTTGGTTTCATTTGAACTGATTTCTGGGCAAGAATGGATGGACCAGCAGATATTACCCCTTTTACCAAATAGAAAGTGGCTGCGAAATGCCAAGATGAAGGCCGTTCAACAGTGGCACCGAGCCAGGGACACAAGGCCAGGCCGACCAACCGTTAAAGGCACAAAGACAAGCAGATCACCGTACCAACCAATCTTTCTCCCTCTCAATCACAGACGACCATATTTTCGATTCCTCGCCCGAAGTAGACTCGGCCACCTCGCTCGGCCTGCGCAAGGATTCTTTATCACAGTGTTGTTTTTCACTTTTGGACCCCGGATCTCTTGGATGAATACGTGATCTTAGGAGGATTGGTGATCCGATCATTGGATCCATTTGACGGCTGAGGAAACCCACTTCCCGAATGGGATTAAGTTCGCTGACAGAACCGGTGGTCCCACGACTACTCGCATTACGATGTTTTCGGGGGGAAAAGAAATACTCGTTATGAATGGAGGTCAAGGAGGCGGGCTAGTGGGAGGTCCAGAGAGCTCGAGGTCTCGAAGGGTGGGCTGTCAGACACTTCCCCTTTCGCATCCAGCTCTCTGCTGTGACGATAGGCTGGCCAAGGCGGCATTTCCGCTTATAGCTAAATAGGAAAAGGTACGCGCCGTTTGAATAACCCTTGGCATTGGACCTCCGCATGTGAAAATTTCCCCACATTGCAAAGTACGCTTTGCATGGCTGATTGCATGCCACTCAAAACTTCTGGCAAATCGTTTTCTCGTCCATCTAGAGACAATGGGAAAGCGAGGTGGGAAGAAGGTAAGGCGTCTCTCTCATCTACACTGCTCGAACAATATTGACGTTCAATATAGGGTGGCCGCGGCCGCGGAAGCGGGGGAGGTGGAGGACCACGACCTCGACCCGACAATCGCGGCAGCAAGCAGGATATCAGTCGCTACAATGACAAATTCGAACAGTACTACAATCAACTTGGGATAATCACAGATGAAGAGAGAGATGATTTTTGGAAAGCTATGCGAAGGGATCTGCCTAACAGCTTCAGGTTCACCGGATCGAAAGCGTAGGTTCATGTCCACGGCCACGTCTTCGGTGTTCCTCCACACCTACTGACTCGGTGCCCAGACATGCCTTAGCAGTCCAGCAGCGCCTGCGAGACTATTACATCCCGGAGATCACCTCAATCACCTACGAAGGTCAATATGTTGACGCCCCTCGCCCTGTGGAGTGGTACCCCGATCAGTTAGCCTGGTTCATGACTACCCCGAAAAACGTGATCCGTCGATTTAAACCCTTTGCCTCGTTTCAACGATTTCTTGTGGCAGAGACTGACGTTGGAAATATCACGCGGCAAGAGGTGGTTAGTATGATACCACCGTTGGTCATGGATTTGAAACCAGGCATGACGGTGTTGGACCTGTGCGCTGCGCCGGGCAGTAAATCTGCGCAACTGCTTGAGATGATCCATGCCGGCGAAGAGGAAAGATGCAGACGGGTTGCTTCGAACAATGCAAATGGTTTGGATAGACCGGAGGGCGAAGATTACCAGGACGATGGCCAGGACGACGGCCGGGCGACGGGTTTACTAGTCGCCAACGACGTTGACTATAGAAGAGCTCACATGCTGGTTCATCAGATGAAAAGGTTGAGCTCTCCTAACATTGTCGTTACGAACCATGATGCGACCATCTTCCCTTCGATCAAGATCTCGTCACTTCCAACACCCGAAGGAAAGCCTGCGAGCAATCGCTATCTGAAGTTCGACCGCATTCTTGCGGACGTTCCCTGCTCTGGGGACGGTACCGTGAGAAAGAACGTGGAGATATGGAAGAATTGGACGCCGAGTAACGGTCTGGGTCTCCATGTCACGCAAGTCCGAATTCTGGTCAGAGCCCTGCAAATGCTTAAAGTTGGAGGTCGAGTTGTCTACTCGACATGTAGCATGAATCCAGTCGAAGATGAAGCCGTCCTCGCAGAAGCAATCAACCGATGCGGTGGTCCGCAGCTCGTTCATATCCTGGAAACAAAGGATCTGCTTCCCGGTCTAAAACGCTCGTCCGGCCTCAAGCAATGGAACGTCATGGACAAGTCCGGTCGGATCTGGAAGGACTACGAGTCCGTTCATAAGCAACAAGCTGAGTTTGGCTATGGAGGACTTGAAAAATTATCCGAGAGTATGTTCCCTCCTAAGGAAAATCTGCCTCTTGACCGAGCTATGCGCGTCTATCCCCACCAGCAAGATACAGGGGCTTTTTTCATCGCAATTCTGGAGAAGAAGTCGGAGATCAAGGCTAAACCGGAGGAGAAGCCCGCCGCTACCGTACAAGGACCGTCGAAAATGGACGTCAACGATTCCCCAAGGACAAATGCCAAATCTGAGATTTCAGCAAACGGCGGGGAGGCGAAAATGAACAAGACGGTCAATGGCGACTCAGAATCCTCAATGAAGCGAAAACGCGAGAATAGTGACAATAGAGACAGTAAACTAATCAAACGGATAAAGAGCGAAGAGGGACTCAACGACACTTCCCCATCCTCGACTATTCACAATGGTCAGTCCTTGGCAGCCCAGGCACCACAACCACAACCTCAACGAAAACAACATCCGAAAAGGAAAAACCGCGACCAACCATTCGAAGAACCGTTCAAATATCTCTCCCCCTCCCTCCCCGAACTCAATCAAATCCGCGCCTTCTACAATATTTCACCACAATTCCCCGACGACCGCTACATGGTCCGAAACCCCGAAGGCACACCCACGAAGAATATCTACTACACCAACAAACTCGCCAAGGAAATTCTGCAAGAGAATGAAGGGAAAGGGATAAAATTTGTACATGCGGGCGTCAAGATGTTCGTGAAACAGGATGCACCGAGCCCCGAAGTGTGTCCATGGAGGATTCAAACCGACGGGTTAAGGATGTTGGAAACTTGGGTGGGCCCCGAGAGGATTGTTAAGTTGAAAAGGAAAGAGACGCTGCGGAGGTTGTTGATCGAGATGTTTCCAAGGTTCAAAGGCGAGGAAGGGGACAAGTTGGGCGAGGTGGGTGAACAGGTGCGAGAGATGGGAATGGGATGTTGCGTACTTGTTGTGGAGCCAAGCGAAACTAATGCCGTTCAAGGAACGGGTACCGGTGGTGGTGGAGAAGAAGGCGAAGGGCTGGAGGAGAGAATGGTTCTCCCGTTGTGGAAATCTATTCATTCCCTGAATCTTATGTTGCCCAAGGAAGAGAGGAAGGCAATGCTGTTGCGGTTGTTCAATGACGATTCACCGTTGTTGAACAACAGTAAAGGCTGGCTTGAGGCACAGAAACAGGAGACCAGAACCAAGGCAGGTGGTGACAAGGACGGCGAGAAAAATGACGCTGGCGGAGACGGAGAGACGACGGATTTTGTCGACAAGCTTGACGAATTCGTCGACACAGAGATACAGAGGAATAGCTCCTCACCTGAAGCCGAGCCTGCGCAATCTGAGCCTGTCAACGACATCGACCATATACGTGATCCGGAAATGCAAGACGAGGCGGCCGACGTCGAAAGTGCCAGAGTGTCAGACGACGAGGAGGAGGACGGCGGAGTGGCGATCTCTAAAAACGAATCGTGAATTGAACGAAGTTGGGATTACGTTGAGTCTACCAGAGCAAAGGCATCGGAGACGGAGGGAAGAGTCAGCTGCTCCATTACGATATATAGGAGCATTCGATCACACCTGTGCAATCTAGAGCGTTTAAACGCTTCGATGTGAAGAAAGATGGTGTGTACTAACCATAGGTTATCCATATCCACCTGTCCATACATTACATATCTCGAATACCAAGTGGCAGAGAGAACAACACCCTCCTCACCTGAGCCTCGCAACGAGTTTCATGAGTGCCGTATATTTGCTGAGTATTATTGACCGCACATGCAGACGAGACGAGACGAGACGAGTCAATCTCTGTCTCGCTCTCCATCTCCAGCAGGATACCTCCAACCCGTAGACCCAACCCGACCCAATCTAGCCCGTTCGAAAGGGCTAGCTGGACAGCGAGCTAGCTACCTCACCGCTGATGAGATTTTGCGAACACCGCACTGCACCTAGCGGCGAGCAGTTTTGCTGCTCACGAGAACAGGTTCTCAAATGTAGCCTCCATGCAGGATGGCATACGGCATTCAGAGGAACTTACTCGGCATATTTCTAGCTGTAGTAGTAGTGGAGAGTAAGTCTGGATAAGGCAAAGGTGTTGTAGTGCAGACGAGATAGAAATAGACCTTGATCTCTTAGGTGATAGGCGGGAAACGAATGAGCGAACGTTCCGTCTTTTGAGTCGCCGCTAGCTATATATCGAGACCCTTCACTGCCCTGGCTCCGCACGCTGAAACACGGTTCACGTCGAACGGTGAAGCGTAGGGGCCTGGTCCATCAGAGCACAGCAAGTTAGATCGTCTCCTA